TGGTGAGGTTCTTCTACCAGAGGAATCTTAGTGGTGTGAGAAAATATAATAAATTGCGCAGAACTGTAGAAGTTCTGCTAATATGCTTAAGGAGAATAAAGGAGGTTGGCCAGTGCAGTGGTCTTTGCCAGACCATTGGACACTTGCAAGTCGACTTGATAGATAATATAGACACCCACCCCAGTTTTGCGGGAGTAGCATTGACAGCAATCGCATTATGGCAACAACTTCAAACCCTAATACATTTAGCATGTTTCTCGCAGAAAGAGCTGTGAATATCTGCAGCTTTCATTTGGTATCACAATTACAGCGGTGATTGTGGGGATGTTTTTCGTTCTTTGTACCACCATTACTAAACAACCCTGACATCTCAGACACCGAAGCAGACAGAATTTTTAAAGATCGTAATGAAGTGAAGAGGTCTGGGTTGGGTGGGTGTTTTTTTGCCAATTAGATGCTCCTGTCTAGCTGTGTTTAAACTGTTTCTATCCTTTGTCCCCTACAGGACTTTAGGTTTGTGTAACTTTCTGGAGAAAGATGATGAACTAGGTTGTATTGTAGTATTGAGGTGAGCTTATAGTACCTTGCTCGGGAAAAATTTTGCAAAAGCCTAAAGTAAATCTATCTTGTATTGCTGCATCATCCCAGTTGAACAGCATTAAAAAGACATTTATTTTTACTAATTTGTTCCCTTCATTGTGCATAGTGGAAAGATAAACCTGAGTCTTTTTCAAATGTTTTTATTTCTCACAGTTCTAGTCATTTTAAACTTTTTGAAAGTAGTTTTGCATTATCTTTAGATAAGTATCTGTTTTATTGCTGCCATTAAGTGATGAAGGTCGACACACATCTGCCTCAAGCTGGGCTTAAACTGTGCAGTTTGTTTTCTTTTTGGCCGTTTTCAGCTATGACATGACGTAAACGCACGTACAGTGTGAGAACATAATTCATAAGCTATAAATTATTGAAACCTCCAATGTAATCATACAGTTTGAGCTGCAGCTGATCACAACTGAAAAAAATAGTGCATTTTATGTCCAGCCTTACCTGAACTGCATGTTCTCCGTCTTCCCTATTTTGAAGAGTAGCTAAGATAAAGAAGTGCTGAGTTAACAATAAAGTTCCTGAATACTCTAATCTTTATAAAAAGTAAATTATGCATAATTTTACAGCAGTTTAATCGTGGTGTTGGTGATTTTGTATCAACCAGTTTTAACTTTGAAGTTTTTCCTTCTCACTAAATAAATGTGGTACAGTTAAAGTTTTTTGTTTGTTTTTCCAATCTAAAATGATGCTGTTGCCTTTATTTGACCTCGAGTGCCAATAAATGTAAGTGATGTCTTTTGCTGATATTTTTTTATTCCTTCAAGAATGAAAAATAAACTACTAAGGATTTCAAAAAGCACATCTGCTGTCATTTTTGAGTCCTTTTTCATACATAGGATAATTTACATTTGTTTTAGAAAAACAAAATGTAAAACTAATTTGAAGTGTAAACACGCATGACTATTGTGCAAGTATTTGTTTGGAGCTTTGGAGCACACACTGAGATTTGTGGTCGTTTCTTGTCAAAATATATCCCAGTTATACATTAATCCATAAAGATTTTTTTTATATTTTTTTTTTTTGCCAACATTTTTTTCCACTGCTACTGATTGTCGACTTTGCTGAGAAACAGATGTTAGCATTTTGTTTGTCAGCATGTGTAATTAGTAGCATTTGCATATTTACTTTTTTTTTTAACCCCCATAAAGCTGGTTTTCACTTTATAAAATATTAATCTATAAGCAAGTAAGTGCTTCACGGACTTCTTGAATGAGACTCCTAAATGCTTATTAAAGCTTTTACTATAATTAAAAAAAATAGATGTAGATGTGGAGATGAGTAAAGCAATTAATGTGAAATCAGAATATTTTGTATTTCATATAAGTTAACCTTCTCATCCATGTTTATGCCTTCTGAAAATTGTTTCGGTGCCATTTTAAAAAATATGTACAATGCCTCAATTAGACAGTTGCATGCCCTGAAGAGCTGCTCCGTATCACACTCCCTGCATGCGGATCCACCAAATGCTAAGTACTGTCACAGCATATGATACCAATGCCATTAGCCAGGTGGCTTTCATTACCCAAATTACAGCTATTGTTTATAATTAATTATTTGTAAATAGGAAGATTCTGAATATAATTGATGGCTTGAATTTCCCTCATCTCCTATTAATTAGCTTGATGGGATTTTCAAGGCTTTTCAGTGTTTTTATTTATTTATTTTTTCTCCTATTATGCTTGAGAGTCTATTACGCTGTGAATGCAGAGGGAAATACTATTAAAGCTATTGCTTTAACTTGGAATTTTTCAGATTCACTAGTGGATGTTCTAGCTTAAAAGAGCCTGAAGCACTGACCAGACACCCACACTGGCTCAATGACAGAGTGAAAGTCCCTAATTGTTTTTAATTTAATCTGCAGCTTCACTATTTTTGGTGCCAGTGCATATTAATGCTCTGTCTTCTGTTGTAAGGATGGGTAATTAGGTTGAAAGTGAATGATTCCCTAACTGCTCTTCTGTCTACCAACCTTCTGTTCTTCCACGTTCACATTATATCCTAAATTTTCCTTCTTGAAAATATAGGGAGGATGCGCTGCAAGTCTCAAGACTTTTTAAAACCGTTTCTGTCCGTTTTATTATTTAACAAGATAGAGAGAGCGTTCGCAATGTCAATTTTCATTTGAATGAATTTGATGAAGTGTTGCCATAAGAAATATTTTAAGCAAACTCTGAAATAATATTGTCTTCTATTCTTCACGGGTGTTACCGATTGTTCTTGCCATGTGCAGTGAAGATAACAAACTGTGCCTCTCAAGTGCATGCACCACTGGTAAAAAAAAAAAAAAAAGTCAGGTTTTTGAGACTTAAATATTGAAAAATGGTTAGACTAAAACATAAAACCTATAGCTCAATGTTCTGTGCATCACTAAAACAGGAAAACATGGAGGTGGCAGCATCATGTGGTGAGTTTTTTCTTTACTCAGATGTTTTTTTCTTTTCTTTCGCAAAGAAAAAAAAAATTGGAGAATGAAATTCCACATCTTGTCAGCTTTTAACTAAAACCTCTAGGTGTCTTCTAGAAAGCTTAATATTAAAAGGGATTTCATTTTTCAGCATCTCAAAAATCTTATGAATTACTTCACCTGAAAATTATACAAGATCTTTTTTTTAATTAATCAGGAAAAATATTTGGAAATTATTTGGCATCATCTTAAGTTTTTGCTGTTTTTTATGCAGTAATCTTGAGTTATAAAGAAAGGAGGTGAACCAATCAGAACGATGTTTGTCAAACTGAGAAAACAATTTGACTTCAGTGGGGTTTAGTTTATTTATTTTTGGTATTAAGGTATGCTAAGATTTTGAAGAGTAATGGTTTGAAAACAGGAAATGGAAAATTTTCATCACACCATTTCTATGTTATAGCACAATGCTTTTGGTTCTTTTGACCCACCTGTGGACCATTTCTTTTTTTAATCAAAAACAATTTAATGTTTCAAAAAAGTTCATTGTTTTTAGAACGGATATGCTTTCATGGATATTAAGAGCAGTTAATGTCCCTTTCAAGTTAAAGATTTAGCAATTAAGCAGTAATCATGCTCATTAAAAAGAGTAATCCATTTAAAACCTAACAGATGTGGATTCTGACAGGGGAATCGCGTTGGTCCCCTGCCAACAATAAGGAATGTAATGTTGCTGAAATACTCAGGTGCAAGGCTTGAATGTGGGAGAGTTGTGTGTGTGTTTTTTTTTCTTTCTTTTTTTTTGCTGCAGTTAGTGTCCACATGTTGACGGTTGACCATTTAATGGCCTACTTAATTGCAGTGGCCCCTGCATCCCTGAGTGTCACTGGAAATTAAAACTGAGTTGGAAGGTTATTTTACTGAGAGCTTTCCCATCTTGTACTTGAGATGAAACTTTTCGATCCCTGGCGATTTTCCATAACTTGGTATCCGATGAGGGTTCTCTGTGTGATGGGTCCAGTCTAAATATGATCAGTGGTAAATAAAGCCATCTTAAATTCAGCCAAACTGCACAGCTACCAAAAACCACTGGGGACAATTGCAAAGCTGTTTACATGTATGTGTAAAATTATTAATTGCTTTTGTGCACATGCACAGAGAAGGTGTGCACCAGCCAATTAGAAGAGCATCTTCCATGCATGTAAATAACATCAACTCAACGGATGCTGTGGGGGTTGGGAAGGGATTTTGGAGGGACTCTGCGTCCCAGTTGCAGCTCCTTTTTTTCCCCAGGTTTGCCTCTTTGCCAGGTGTTTGACATTGACTGAAGCTGAAGATGAATGTTATGGATCTGACTGGCTCCTGAGATCCGCAGCTTCCTGCTGTGAAAGTTTCTGTTCTCAAAGCCCAACAGTTTCCAGGGAATGACTCCTGAGTTGTCCATGTGTTAACACTGTATATAAAAAAGAAAATTTTCTGCCTCTGCATGCACTGCCACAGCAGTCAAATACAGAATCTCATTGTGGTCATCCAATTTGCAAATTGGGTAAACTGGGAGAGTGTGATTGTTATCAGCGACTGTCGTAGAACCCTGCACATGATTTGCATAAATATGATAAATGTCTCTCAACATTAGGCGTGTTTAGATGGGCTCTGAGTGGATGTCCAATTTATAATAACATAAGCTGATTAATATGGGTGCAGCTTTGCATATATTGATGACAGAACCAAACAAGAGTGTAGTAAGGACTTGCATAGAAACAAAAATCAGGCTTCGTGTCTCTCATCTCTCATACCACACACAAGCTCCCCCCACGTCATGATGGCAGGAACTCTTTGTCAGAGGTGTTCATCTGGAACAACTTTGCCACACTTGTTTTCATGTTCTTTTAGATTACAGGGCAGCTGGCCCCAGCTTTGAAGCTCCCCTCTCCCTTTGTCTCTGTGCAATGCACTCTGGTAATTAACTTTGTCCTTCTTTTATTTGTTCCAGTCACTCGCAGTCCACTCTTCTGAGCATCTTCTCCCTGGAGTACCAGGTTAGAAGTTTTCTTCCTTTGTGAGCCCTGACAGGTGCCTAATTGAATGATGAATGTCCCTTTATTTCTTTGTAATTGAACTGCCAGCTTTCTGATTGGTTTGGAAGACCCCCACCTCCCCTCACTCACTACCCCATTTATTCCCCCCAACACACACACACACGCACGCACACCTCTGTCCTCTCCTACTTCACGTTCACGTTGAGGTCCTTTTCCTGCCTGAGCCTCGGTGGATGTCTGCCAAACCTTCCCATCCATCTGTCTAATAACATCTAGCCCCTGCTTATTTGGTGGACCTGTAATAAATTATGCTAAACCATTATTATTCTGACAATAATAATTTCCCTGTGTAGTGCGGCTGTGTGTGCTAAATGTTTGCTGACTCGCACTGTCACTGCTGCTTTCCACGGCTGACAGCGGATGATGATAAATGGCCACTGCCGCCAGTGGCAGAAGGCAGCACAGGCAGAAAATGGAGTCATTTATCATCCCACTGACAGGTGTCAGTCACATTGCCCGTCTCTGTGGAATTACATTTTTTTTTTGTGTGTGTGTGTGTGGTAGCTTTTAAATAAGTTGTTTTTAACCAATGCTCTTCCTCTTTTATCCCCTGTCCTCGTGCCTCTCCGCAAAGGATGGCAATTGAATTGCATGAAAATGTCAGAGTGCGGTATGTGTATAATGTCAGGGATTGATCGAAAAAGAGGAAATGAATACAAGGTTCGGGCGAAGCAGGTAGAGGAGGAGGAGGAGGAGGAGGGAGGGAGGGCGTAGGTTTGAACAAGGCTGCTTTGGCACACCTTGACCCCCAGTAAACCTATTGAAATTAAATTACTGCTCCCACAGAAGAGAGTGCAAGAGTATGGCTTAACGTGGGGGTGCTTTGGTTGGGTTGAATTATGTCTACTACCAATAATAATGATAATATGTATTATTAAAGATCTGGTCATTTCACCCCTTCTCCATTTTGTATGTGACTTTTATAGCTAGGATTGAAATTTAACCATCCGCCACAGGACATTTTATCAGTTTGAAAGGCAGGGATATTTCAAAGCTGCTGTGACAACTTCAGATTTTATGTAATTTTCTATTGTCTATTTATTTTATGCTGTGGTCTACCAACAACAGCCAGTTTTGACAAATCGTCAACAGGACCAAATTAGACCAGCCCCAAATTGCATGGATTGACAGACAATGTTCAGAAACTAATATCATTTTTAATTAGCATGGACTTGAGAATTTTGGACTATTTATCTCCACAATTAGTCAGAAATACTTAACTACATTTAAAACCAAAGACTATATTCCTGGCAGATTTAGGCTTAAAGTAATATTTTAATTGGATCAAGATATGAGATGGTAGATATGAGTCTCCATACTATAGGTAATGTTAGTGGCCCAGCCAGAGTCCTTACTTTACCCAGCTAGAGAATATGTGGATGGAGCAAAATATGAGGGTGATGGTAAGGAGACCTTCCAACTACAAAAAAAACAAAACAAAAAAACAACTGGAGCTTAATACTAAAGATAATTTATCCACCAGTGGGGAAAAAAAATCAAAAAGCTGGTGAATAACCATAGTGCAGAGTAATTCTTGACATGCAAATATTATATAAATTAGTTGCTGATGGGGTAAGTTGTACCAGAGGAGAAAAAAAAAATGTTTTTCAATGTTTAAATTTTATTTATGTTTTATTAATACATTAACTTGGACTTATTTCTATTGTGGCAGAAACGAACTAAAAGAACAATGTCAAGACATCATGTGCCAGATGTTATGGAACGATACTACCAAAGGTATTATTCTACACATTTCAATTGATTCTAAGCCTTCCTTTCCTATTTTTGTTTCTGCCATTTGTATTTACTTTATTTTTTTCTCTCTCTCCTAATTGTGGGTTTATCTTTATCCAGACATTCTATGACTGAGAAAGGATCTGGCCAAAGTTACATGCAGGATCATGAGCCAACCAAACAAATCGCTACTCTGAATCCGTTCCCTGCTCTTACTTGCACCTGCTAAGCCACAGTTCTGTTCTCACTGTCATATTAAGAACAGAGAAAAAAACATTAGACATTTGCCTTACGCAGGCTTATGATGGGATGATTATGTGTAATTCAATGAATGTGGCTAAATTGAAAAAACAACAAAAAAGTCTCCAACAGGAAAAGCCTCTTTGCATATTGCAATTAGCCTTTTATCTAGCTTATTAAGCCATTGTTCTGGAGAAAATAAGCCTGGATAATGCACTTCTAATCCACTTAGAGGAGCAAACCTCAGAGATGATCTTGGCGAGATCTGAGGGGAGTTTCTGCTTTAGCTGGCAAGGGAAAAAAGGCTTTCTGGGCGGCAGGGGTTAACTAACTATCAAATGCTTGTCTGGCTTGAAGGAAATTTGAAGCCCTCTGAGCAGTGCTGTTTTAACCGCACTGAGCCTGCCATATGCCACCCAGGGCAATGTCATCAGGGACATTAGCATGTCTTGGCTAGCCTGATCTAGCCCCCTCTACCCTGCTGTCTTTCTTTGTGAGCTGTGTTTTTTTTTTCTTTTTTTAACCACTTCTGCTGTTCTTTTGTTATAATGAAGGTATCTGAGTGAAACCAAGGTTCGCCCCACTGCTCCTGTCCTGCTGGAGTTGGCAAATGAGGTAACAACACTTAGTTTAACTTATTTACGCATCTTTAAAACACAAACTCAGTTAATACTCTTGGCATGAATGGATAAAGATGTCTTTGATTCACCTTTTAGATTTTCTCCCCTTGTCTGTTAGTCATTATCAAAATTGGGAAAATGGTTCTCTCCATTACCAATTATCTAATGTAATTAGCTTCAAGCTCCATTAGGCAGATGTAAAAATAGTTTTTTGTTTTATTTTGTAATTTTCCAAATTGCAGTTCACACAGAGGTGCCACAAAGTGTGGATAGGTGAGGAAAAGGGTCAGTGGTTCATCCCTCTCTTTATCACGTAGTTGTTTACTTTAGAAGCTGAGTATTGTCTGCACATTTAAAATAGTATTTGTTAGTTATTTGTATGGTAGATGTGGGATAGGCTTCTACTTAGGCTATATAATTTATTTTTTACTTTGTCCTTTAGGAGAGATTAGTACTCCAAGTAGCTTTTTATTCTACATATATTTCTGCACTGGAGTGTTGGGTTGTTGCAACAGTTGCAGCATTTTGGTGAAAGTGTTACTAAAGACGAAGAATTAAACACTTTATGCATTTTCAATTTTTAATTCTTGCATTTATGATTGTGTCATTGTGAACCAGTGTTTTAAATATTTAGTAGCTTAAAATGCTAACATTTTTGTCACAGCATTTCCGCTTTCACACATTTTGCTGCACACTTCCAACCAGCTGGCTTGAAGAAAGCTACTTTCCAGTCTTAATTTTTAAATTTAAGTATTTGGTAGAAAATGGGGACAACCACAGTTCTGGAAGCTCATTTCTAATGGGTAGTTGGGATGGCTATAGTTTTAAAGATAGTAGGGGAGCAAAAAGGTGTGATATCCCGGTATAATATTCTGCACAATAAGCACCTAAAAACATTTAAATTTAGTGGTTGTTAATTCTTTGTTTTGGTAAGTTGTTATGTTTTGTTTCAATATGAATAACTGTTGACTTTGTGTTTTTGATTAAAGCAGCCACTTTATTTATACAAGGTTGTATTTAAATAGTCTTTTACTGAATTTCAATAGGGCCAGAATATGAGAAACTCATAAAAGCATGTGCCTAACTTAAATGTACATTTGCTTTTTCAGTCTTCTCTTTTTTTGCATTGAAATAAACCATATAATCAATTTTATCATTTAAATTTATAACTTAATGTTATTAGTTCTTCAACGTAGAGGTTTCTTTTTTCTTTTTTTTTTTTTTTTTTATTCGGAGCCCTGAAAGTTAACAGCTATTAGTCTCTTTCTTCTTAATTGAAATATTATTATTTTTTCTCCTGGAAAGCACATAGATAGCAGTCTATGAACCATTTAACTGTCATTTTAATATGCTACTTAACATTTAAACCAAGCACTCATACCCTCCCAGACTGCTAATTGATGTAGTTTCATGTCTTTATGAGATAATATATCTTCAAAAGAGGAAAAAGATTAACTGAGATGAAAGCTATTTATGGGTATTTTGTCTCCAGAAGAGAGTCTATGAATAAGGGAATCTTAACTCACTGTTTTTCAAGCTTTATGGGGATCTTTATGCAAATGTTACACGTAGGCTCTAGTGCAGGTGCACTCGTGGAGCACTTCATGTGACAGCCATTAGCTTTTTTTGGATAAATGATGAGAGTATTTTTTTTTTAACTATCTTAATTTTATTTGCTGGATTCTTGAGTTCTGTTAATCTTATGCACATGTTAAACTCCTAAACTGGAGAATACTGGCTTGAGAATGGAGACGGACTTGTGATTAATATGAAAATTAAGGAGATGCAAGTACCTGAACTAATCAGGTGGTACTTATTCAGGCTGAACCGGCAGAAGTAATGCTGCCATTTTTCATGTGTCAGTTTCATAGAATCTGCAACTTTCTTGTTATCCAACGGTGTGAGGGGACAGGAGGGCCAATAAAAGGAAGAAAGGCTGGTGAGAAGCAAAGCAGAGATGATCCGAACAACACCAGAACCGAAGAAGGGCTGCTGCAGTTTAGGGTGGCAAACACAGAGGCAGAAAATTTATCAGGGGACCTAATAAAGACGCAAAGCCACACCCTAATTATAACAGACATGTTAGGAATTTTTACAAGCTCCTATTTGCAATATTATGGAAATGCTACCAAATGCCATAGTGGGTATAAAGACATTGTTTAGACAGAAGGATCTCTGCCTCTAGCATTATCATAATGCATCTGAGGAAAGATGAAACACTCCGTTCACTGCAGCAAGCTGAGTGCAAATTCACTTTTGGTCTCCAATTATGCTAACAAGAGGAAAAATGTTCAGTGGCTGTAAGAATGTTGCTTTATAACAAGCTGGTCTCCAAGCAGTGTTTTAATTCCCTCCACACTGGGGAGACTGAATGCGTTTGTACTTGTATGTGCTCTATACGATGTTTAAATAAAGGTCAACTGCAGCTTAAGGAAAGCCGACATCTCTATTTCATATATACATGTGTTGTTTTATTCATTCATTCAACTGTATTTGTCTAATTAAGTGTGCCTTAACAACAGGCTTCTTTCTTGTGAACAGATCACTGCAATGATAATGTTTGAAATTTGATGGAATGCAGTGTGCAGATGAAAATATGGTCTGGTAGAGACCTTCAGCATCAATCATTAGTGTTCTCCTACCTGTCAGGGCTTCTCATCACTCAAACCAAAACACCGCTCACCTATAAGGTGTCTTCGTGTTCAAAGAGTGCTAGAGCCATAGATTTTATTCTTCCCATTAGGGACTCAATTCGCATTGTCCCTGAGGTGTGTCCTATTAGTTGCTGCTGTTTTGCCTCGGTGATCATTCTATGATTAAAGCTCTCTGTTGTTTTTCTTGCCTGGATGTAGCATGTGCGGCTTTTTCCCTTACAAGATGAGAGACTGGGAATGTGTCTCTGACAGAGGCTAAGGCGATTCAGGCAGCTGCCTCGGCTGTCTAACAGTTAAGCTATTGTTCTTTTTCGAAAGGTTATTGCAAAGCAAGGGTTTCAAAAACCAGATTGCAAGGGGATTGTCAAAAGTTAGGTCAAAGGTTAGCAATACAATAATACAATTTAGAGCCATTAAGATCATTATAATGTATGACATCACTAAAACACAGACAGCTGGTGTCAGGTCAGCGCTGAAATTTTTAACCTCTTTGACCAAACCTTGCACTTCAGAATGTGTGCGACTTTGATGTTTTTCACACAAACCAGATCTTCGTTGAGGTTTAGCAGTTTCTTCAAAGTGGCTCGCAAAAGTATTCATACCCCCTTAACATTTTTACGTTTGTTGTGACAAATTTCAGTTTATTTTATTTAGGTTGTGTGTGACATACCAACACAAATGAGACCTTCAGAAGTCATCTTAACAACTAAATGAAGTTAATTTCTGTGTGACCTATTTCCAGTATCAATCCATCTGTACTGGGAAGACCTTAGAGGTTTGTGGGAGAACAATGATGCACAAACGACATTATGAAAAAAAAAAAAAAAAAAAAACTTGGTATTGATTTGGGTCAAAGCATAAACATGTTTTAGACTTGCTCCAAGTTTTGATTAATAAATGATTTGTAATCAATGACATGACTTGAAATTGGTAGTCATGGCAACATAAGCTATTTTTTGTTAGGAACGGCCAAAAATGTCAATGTCCAGATGTGCAGAGCTGGTGAAGACCTAAATCAAATCCAAATTCACACCACTTTTTTTTAGGTTTTTATTTAAAATAGAAAACATTGTTTTCTCTCAACTTTGTGTTGGGCTGTCCATAGAAAATTCCAATAAAAAACTAATGTTTGTATATGTAATTTGGTAAAATGGGAACAAGTTGAAGGTGTATGATGAGATACTGTTTGCCTTTATTTTAAAATAGTAATAAATCAGCTTTGAGACCATAATCTTTCTAAATCTATTCCATTCTTTTTTTCTTGCTGTGCAATTTGTCCAAAGGTGGATCTGTCTCCTGCTCTGATGGCTCGTATTATCCTGGATCGGTTCCTTAAGGACATGGACGGCGGAATGCGTGAGTAACACTTTTCCATTTGTCACTCCGGCAATCTTCTGTCTAGTCTTGATTGTAGGACTTTGTCTGTTGAACCTCTCTTCATTTGAGTCAGAGGTGCAGTCTATCAGCTGTATATTCAGTCTGCCCAACTCTAATAAGAGATGGACAACATTTAGTGGTGGCCGTGTCCCGGGGCACATGAGTGGCAGTTAAGTCTTTGGAGAATCACTCTGCTTTCCACGGCCGCGTGGATTAATGCTTCCTCGCCTCATCTGTGTTCTTTTTAACACTTCTGAATTGTTTCTCTGTTCACCCTAATCTCCGATTGCATCCTTTTACTCTGGACCGTCTCTTTCCTGTTTCTGTATCTACCGCTGTGCGCCTAGGAATTTGAGTTGAAGAAAACCGTGACAGAAAAAGCAAACTGTTGCCCGCCAGTGCTGATGGAGCACCACAGGAGAGCAGAGCTCCAGAAGCAAATGTTTTTGTTGAATTTGTCGAAGAGAATTTCCAGAAATGCGTATACAGATGTAAAGTTTGTTCATCTCCTTGATGGTCGTTTCTGCCGCTTTTCTCTAATTTTTGTCGCGCAAAAATAAAAACGTTTTCCCGTTCTCCTTTTATTTTACTAACTTAAAAAGATGATGTCGATATAGTTCCTCGTTGTTTCAGTTTTTCCGTCAACTAGCTGCATTTGTCTGCGGGGCAGTCAATACTTTTGAGAGAATCGCGTGATGTCAAAAAAAGTCGTGCTTCCAATTTAAATCAAGAAAGAGATTAAACTGGATGTGTGTTATTTTCAACTTCACCGCAGCACAGCCATTTGTCAAAGTCAAAGATGTGATTGCTTTGGACCCGATGTTATCCACTGCCTGTCAAAATACCAGTCTGAGCAGCTTGTAGAACAGGGCGTTCGTCCAGGAGAGCTAGTCGCCGCACATAATAGCATTCTGCATAAGTCCATCTCCATATTGTAAAAGCATACTTTAATTGCTGAGGATGATGGAGCTTATAAAACATCCTGGATGGTAGTTTATTTATAGACGCACAGAGTTTAGCAAAAGTATCCAAACCTGTCTTTCGGAGTAAGTGCAACTTACAGAAATTTTATTTGGTTTGGAGTTTTTTTTTTTTTTTTTTTTTTTTGTTGGGGGGGGGAAAAAATTAAAAATATTCAAAAAAATTTTTAAAAATTTGAAAAGTT